AGTGTTGGAGTCTGTCAGACAGAAGATGTCATCCACATATCGACCGTAAAATGCGGGGTCATTGATGGTGTCTCTCAGGCTCGTTCTCTCGATCTTGCCCATAAAGACATTTGCGAGAAACGGGCCAAGTAGTGAACCCATCGCTACGCCATCTATCTGTCTGTAGAAGCTGCCATTGCAGAGAAATTGAACATTTTGTGTGCACCTCGTAAGTAATTCTTTGAGGGTTTTTTAGGGCATACCCATTTGGTAGTTTGTGTCTCGAATGAAGTCACAGAGGTAGTTTATTGTTTCTACCACGGGTACGTTGGTAAAAAGTGATGAAACATCCAAGGTGAGCATCTTACATTCACCAATGTTCATATCTTTTATAGCCTCGATAAACTCAAATGTGTCCTTTAAGCTTCAAGGGTATAGGTGACTTCCAAGAGGCTTCAGCTTTTCTACCAGCCATTTGGCAATGGTGTGATAGGGGAGTTTCGCATATCTAAGATAGGACGCAAGGGTAGCCCCTTTTTTTGAATCTTCGGAAGACCATACATTCTGGGTATCGTCGTTCCTACAGGTCTTAGTCTTTCCATCTCCTTGTACTTGCAATTTTTATTTTGCGTCTTAATTTACTTGAAAGTCATTAATTATTAGTTTTTCATTCTGGTGGATGCGTCTGCACCGGTTTCAAATTTGTTTAGGCACATGTCCGGCCACACACTGTTCTTCTACGGTTCGGCGATTAATAATTTATGGGTCAAAAAATGAAGTGTACACTGACTGTCCTCCAGTGTTGAGGGTTTTATGAAGAAAATTGCTATTCCGACATTTTGTACATCGTCAAACATGTCGGATGCACTGCAGTGTCCTTTAAATTCTTGGGAATATCCACATTTAAATGTATGCCTGATGGCTAGTCACAGACGGGCTCTACAGTTGGTTCGTTATTGCTATAAACTGCTAATATTTTTTAAATTCTCGTTTTAATTACAGGATTGTTTCAAGCCCGGCAAGACTTCGATTATCTACATGACAGACGGCATGCTGATTCAGGAAATGGCGCGTGATCCTCTCCTCCGTCGCTATCGCATTATCATGCTGGATGAGGTGCACGAGCGATCTATCCAGGTAGATTTACTGATGGGTTTGGTCAAGAAAGTACTTCGAAAACGGCCCAATGATTTACGGGTTATTGTCTCCTCTGCAACTCTCGAGGCTCAAACGTGCGTTTGACGGTACCATCTCATTTCAACAAGATATTTGCCCATTTCATTTGATCCTTTACCGAATAATTTGCCTTCTCCGTCTCCCAGATTCATCGACTACTTTCAAGACCTACATATAAAAGGAGAGGAAGAAGGGCACGATAAAATAAACAGTACCCTGAATCCTGTCGCCCACCTTCATGTTGAGGGCCGCCAGTACCCAGTAAACATCTATTATCTTCAGGATCCAACACCTTGCTACGTCCAGGAATCCAAGACGACTGTCTTCAAGCTTCATGAAGATCGCCCGCTTGGGGCAGATATTCTCGTTTTCTTGACAAGTATGATTCCTTCTTAACTTTTCCGTTTTTGCCGACAGTAATATATATGCGTAAAAGCCTAATTTACATGAGTTAAGTCGGCGTTAATAAACGCCTGTTTACTAGGTCAATCTGTCCTGTGAATAAGCACCGCACATGGCCATCGGTCCTACCACACATCTATCACTATTCAAAAACTTATCTTAATTCAAACGCTTATGAGTGATCGATAGCATACGTTTTCCTAGACTGATTAAGCCAATTTTCTTGATTTGTCCTTCCCCCTTCAACTGGCATGCAGTTGACGGCCCCGGCCGTCCGCTGTCAGTGTGCGCTAAAAGAGTCTATTGTTTTTTTTTATCGCAGATATTAAGAACTTTTCTCCGTATGTATTCTTCCCCAATCCCCACTTGTCGCTACAGAGGACCTTGCCTATTTTTCTCGTCTGTTGTTTACCAACTTTGTAGGTCAGGATGAGGTAACCACACTGGTGCGCGAAATAGTCGACGAGTACCGCTCGCGAAAGGACCAGTTCCTGCGCGCACACCCCAGCAAACCCGGTGCAAACTCCCCGCGCTATCCGCCACTGCGAGT